CACACGTAGGGGAGGGGGGGGGGGGGGGAACAAGTTGGGGCAATTTGGATCGCGTCAGTGGTTTTCTGTACAATTGTAAGTATGAACAATGTTCATTTACAAAAATAATGCAGAGTTGGCGTGGGTACTGTTTCGTTTCTATTTGCCCGCAGGAACAGTGGTAGCATCCCCATCCCAGGAGGCTCCATTAGGCAATGTGGCGTTGACGGTGGTCGAGCTGGATAAAGTTGACATATGAACCTCGGTAGCCTCTGCGGACGACAGTACCAAGAAATATTGCCCGGAGAGACGCTGGGCCCCCTTTTGTTTCGCCATCGCTAATTTGATGCACGACCCGACCTACTTTGTCCAGCGCAGAAACAAAAAGGCCGAACAGTTTGATGACACTGATAGATATATTGGCTCAGTTGTCACGGTTTGGGCTGGTGAGCTACTCAGTACAAATTAAAATTATACAATACTGCCAAATGAATGCTTAGTACTCCGTACGGAGTAGAAGCAATGGCTATGGTTGAGACATGAGCTGGTCGATCTCACCACCACCACCACGCAAGGTTAGCGTCGGCCGCAATCCTTCACTACGCCAGCATTGCGTCACCAGCTGACCAGTGTCACCAAACTCCGCCGGGGTTTTGGTTCTGTCTCACAATAATGTGCGTCGTTGGTTCAGTGCCAGCGGGGATGGCGGAACGGTCAACGGCAGGCCTTCGCTCACGGAATACTACATAACTAGCAACTCCGCCACCCAACAAAGATTTGGTTGCTGGCCATCGGCCGGTTTGAACCTTGCGAACCCCGCAGTTACCAGCTTTGTGTGACGTGGGCACGGCTGTGAATTGCTTGTTGCGATATACCACGTGGAAGTCCCCAGCTCACACCCCAATCCTCATCCCAATTCATTCAGGCTTTGTACATTTGTAATGGACATCCCCGCAGGCTCGCATCCAACAAGGCTGCTGGTATGGGCAGCCGTCGGCTTGGTCGTTATCTCCTTCCTTGCCCCTATCGTTAGGCGATTCTTCGTCCGGCGACAGATTGCCCGTAGTCATGGCTGTCGACCGGTTGCAAAAGCTTGCAACAAAGACCCGTTCCTCGGAATAGACATTATACGTGCCAATCTAAGGGCTGCTCGGGAGCACAAAGCCCTGGAAACAAGTCGCGAGAGGTGTTCCCGTTTCGGAAATACTTTCACAACGAGGCAGTTGTTGCTTCCCATCATTGTGACGGTAGAGCCCGAGAACATAAAGACCATCCTTGCGCTCAACTTCAAGGACTATGGAATCGGTCATCGTCTAGAACGATTCGGTCCCCTCCTTGGGGCAGGCATATTCGATACTGATGGCGACCACTGGGCAGCGTCGCGCGCTCTCATCCGGCCAAACTTCACCAGAGACCAAGTGGCAGACTTGGGCTTGTTTGAGAATTTGATACAGGACCTTTTTGCTCTTATTCCACGAGACGGGCAGACTGTTGTTGACCTGCAAGACCTGTTCTTTCGCTATACAATTGATTCTGCCACTGAGTTTCTGTTCGGACAGTCGGTCGGCAGTCTGAAGAAGACTGCCCAAACAGAGCTGGATTTCGCAGAGGCGTTCAATTATGCACAGGAAGCCATAAGAATGCGAAATATCCTTAGACCGCTGGCTAAACTCTACAAGGATCCCAAAGCCGACAGATGCAATAGACTTTGTCGGGAATACGCCCAGCAATTTGTCGACAAAGCCGTCAGTGAGGTTTGGCCAGAGGGGGACCCAACAGAAAAGGAAACATCAACGGACAAGTCCAAGACGCAGGGCCAGAAGTACATCTTCCTACGTGAACTGGCAAGGCGTACATCTGACAAACGCCGCATTTTGGACGAGCTCCTCAACGTTCTCCTTGCCGGTCGTGACACCACTGCTAGCCTACTGAGCAATATGTTCTTCATGCTCGCTAAGCAGCCGGCCATCTGGGCTAAACTTCGAAGTGAGGTGGCCACGCTGGATGGGCAAGTGCCAACCTATGAGATGCTTCGCAATCTTAAATATTTAAAGTGTTGCATGAACGAATGTAGGTACAGATAATACAGCATGCGTCTGCCTCCATTTTGTATTATTCTTTATTACTAATACGACTCGCCAGCGCTACGCCTCCACCCAGTTGTACCAATGAACTCTCGTGAGGCCTTGCGAGATACTGTCTTGCCGGTCGGCGGTGGGAGTGACGGCCTGTCACCGGTATTTGTACCAAGGGGCACGCATGTTGCTTATAACGTGTATGCCATGCATCGACGGGCTGATTTCTACGGACCGGATGCGGATGAATTCCGCCCGGAGCGCTGGGAAAGCGGGCGGCTGCAACCGCGATGGGAGTATCTGCCTTTTAACGGAGGGCCACGCATATGTCTCGGCCAGCAATACGCTCTTACCGAAGTTGGATACGTCACTGTCCGTATAGCACAGGAGTTCCAAATATTGGAAAGTAAGGATCCAGGGCCATGGGAGGAGTCATTGACGTTGACCCTGTGCTCTCGAAATGGAACTAAAGTTTGTCTTACTCCAGCATAAACTCAAGAACAGGCTCCTAATGCGGTACCCATGCGGTGTGGCTCGCTGCATGAACTTGACTCTGTGCTATATTGCACATGTTTCATGAGCTCTATGCTACGATTCCCGCTTGTCTCAACTCATTTCATTACCTAGATGACTGGCTCCCGGGGCATATTGTGTGCAACGTTTGAAAATCGGGAATGTGTCATTTGTTGTCTAGCTACTCGCCCTCTATTCCAGGAAAGAATCCTTTGACAAAAGTTCCCTGAAAATCGTGTAGCATTAGCAGTGTACCTAAATCCTGCATCGTACAGGTTGCCGTCCTGTGCTTCTGGTAGCAGATACTACCAGTATCCCACCAATGCCGAGTTTTATCAGCTTGCCTCCCACCGGGCACGGAGTGTTTTCTTGGTAGTTGAATGGTAATAATAGCAACAACGCCACATTTGGGGAGTCATCCCCTCAAACTTGCCTGTTTAGGTAGGTGTGTAATGTCTTTGTTCTGATGGGTGGACCGGTCGACCACAATGCACAAGCATGCATGGAACAACACTCGGCAATGCCCCAATATCCAGACTCATCCAAAGTGGCCGCGGCATGGTGTACCCCCAATGCTAGTGTAGCATCCTATGAGTGACCCCGGGATGATGGAAACGCCCAAGCTACACTCCCCGATATCCATGCTACATTGCCCAGATAGCAGGTTTTAAAAGAGGCCACCTCGCCCGTTGTCCATGTAAATGTATTTTGAATGTGGCTGTCAGACTCATAATTGCAGAGAACTTGCCTTGTATCAGATTTACACTGCTTAAATCTTATCATTATGCATACCTTTAGTCTTCTTTCGTTTATGCTTGCCTGCCGTCTGGCCGCTTGTCACCCAGGTGAGGACCAGGCAGCTGAGTTGCGGGCCCGCGGAGAATTTCTACAGAACCATGTAACCAACTTGGATCACTGTGCCCAAGAACTAGAGGCCTCCGGTGTTATGGAGCGAAGCATAGAGCGCAGGTTGCATATGGTCAAAAGGCTACGGGAAAAGCGTGGATTAGAACCACAGAGAGACCAGAACGAATCCAAAGATTGGGGTGCCGTGGATACGTCCCCTGCATCACTCTTTAAGACAAACGCATCATGCGTTCTGGCCCCAGAAGAAATGGTTGGACCTTATTGTAAGATCCCAGTCGGCTTTATTGTTCGAAGAGACGCTAATTTGATGTCAACGGTAGATGTCGCTGGCGAAAGTGTGCGCTCCAACATTGTCGAAACCCAGCGGGGCGTTCCTATGGAAATTGACGTTCAATTTATCGATGCAACCTCCTGCCGACCGGTTGTAGGAAAATATGTTGACGTTTGGCGTATGTTTTGCACAAAACCGCCGCCACTCTTTGTATTCGTTATGCTAACAACCATAATCTTACAGAAGCTAATGCCACTGGAGTTTATGGCGGCGTTATCAACCGAGAAAACGGCAATGGGCCGGCCGACCCAAACAATCTGAAGAAGACTTTCCTCCGTGGCATTCAGAAGACTGACAACGATGGGGTTGTAAAGTTCTCTACACTATTTCCTGGCCATTACGCCGGGCGCACTATTCATATTCATGTCATGTTACATCCAAACGCTCAGCCATATCCTAATGGCACGATTATCGATAATACTGCTGCTTACGTAGGTCAGATGTATTTTGACCAAGAGCTCATCCACTCTGTCGAACGCCTACCGCCATATACGCAAAACCCCAATCCTCTCACACTGAATAGCCAAGATTTCATTTTACAGCAGGATTTGTGGCAGGGTGGTTACCCATTTGTACAATATAAGATGATAGGTAATCGCCTCGAAGATGGCATTTTGGCATGGCTGAGTTACGGTATCAATCCTGCAAAACGAAGTCGCGTTATTCCAGTTGCAACACGAAGGGGCAACCTACCGCGAGAGACCACAGACATCCAGCGGGCTGAGATGTAGTGGGAAAACTTTCTTTCTGTTATCATGTCCTCTTTCACCGGGCCATTTCATTAGTAGGTTCTGCCGCTAACAAACGACTATGCGAACTATTGTGTTTTATGAACTTGGTAGCAAATGCGATACGACTGGTTTCCTTCTGATTTCCGAGAATCGTCTTGAGGCAATCACATCAGTCACTATTTTTTGAGGCCAATAAAAGTAAATTATTGATAAGTCTCGTAGTGGATTTAAATCGACTATTTGTTCCGCACATTTATTGCTATTTTTACTGAAGATGTATAATAATATACGGGGTTGCATCATTGCATGTTAGTATTCCTTGTGGATGGTTGTTGCATGTTATTAGTTAAATAGAACTACTGTTCCAGCTCTTACATAATAAGTCCTTACCACAATAGTGGGTGGAGTAGTCATCGTAATTAATATTAAGTAATTAGTTGAAAGAATGAAACTTGGATATAGGTTGGCGATATAGGATATCGTGTTAATTAAGCAAGCTATCTGTAAGAATGTGAGTCAAGTAAATTGATTAGGAGTCTCTTTTCATTGGATGGGAGAGCAGAATGCCTTTGACTTAAGTAATTGACTTCAAGTCACTAGAATAACTATAAAACCTACGGATGTTCTAATTGGTATTTCTGTTTTCAACCGAGCACCAAGGCAAGCTACCGTTAGCTTTCCGCTAACTACAATTTAGCGTAAACTACTAGATTGCCTTGCCTCGTGTATCCCATATTCATATCTCGTACAATTCCTATGTCTTCTGGTTCCGTGTCGCAAAGTTCCATATTAAACCGACAAGCAAGATGGGGAACTGTCAAGAACAATTCCAGTTAAGGGAGACTAAGTTGCTAGTTGACTACCTACAAGCCAGAACTACGAACAAGGTGGCCTGCGAGATGTGTCCAGTATGTAGCCGATTTGAGAGGTCTCGGAGACATGTTGGACCACATTGCTGGTGCATTTCCTCGAATTTGAACAAGAATTTACCCGGTCGAACTATACTATATTGTAGAAGATTTCTTGGAGGCGAGAGACGTATGGTGGGCCAAGAGAGAGAATAGCAGTAGCGGCAGCGTGGTATATGGTGGGCGTGTTAGGGTCAACGGTACACCAGACACCAGACGCCAGTGATTTGCTATCCACCCAGCCGCCACCTTGTTGCTTAAGCCATCATCTTTGGCTCTGGCGGCCTAGATCAAACCTTGCGGCTGGAGATTTATGTTAGATGAGGCAACACATACGTCGTGCCTTCTTTGACTCGTCGTTGAATAGCAAACGGCATCAGTCTCATCGTCTCTACAATGGGTCTGTGGAGGGGATTAAGAACAGCAACGGACCAGTTGACCCTTGAATCCAAGTCGCCCCCTCGGTATCAATGGCGAAGGGCTTATCAAGCTCGAGATCGGGAACGTGGAGGTTGGTGATCCGCCCTACGGCGACAGAGGTGAGCTTTTGAAGAGACTGCTCGTTGCGGGCCTCGGCACTCGACGACGCGCTGCCGGCTGGGAGCACGCCATCCATAGCGAGTTGATCGATGAGGTTGGACATGTGGATGTTGGGTCGAGTAGCCAGAATGGTTGCCAGGCACGTCAGGAAACCGGCAATTCTATCCAAATGGGAGCATGCCGCTCCAAAACTAGTGTCTAGTGACCGAGAACGAATCGTCGCGTCGTGTCAGTCAACACGCGGCTCATCCGTCGTCGGAGCACCTGCGCGGTCTGGTCCTGTTTGTTGAAGCTGCATCCCGCAATGGCTCTCACAAGGGCAACCCAAGGCTCTGGGGAGCCATCCTGCAGCTCATCAAGCCCAGTTCCAGGCTGCTCTTCAGAGGAATGGCGGCCGGACCGAGACGACGCAGAACAGGTCACATTAGTATGACTGCGGTGCTCAAAGGCTCAAAGCTTCCCAGTCGGATAGGTAGACGTGATGCTTCCAAGTCTGGGCCCATGCTTTGGAAAGAGCTTGTGGTGTAACGAGTGACTTGACGTCATTGCACCTTCATGAAGCTTGTCGCAAGCTTTTATTAAAGCAAATAAATAGCCGTCATTCCACAATCTCTTTTCTGTGCAATCTGATGCCGGCTTGCGAATGCCTACCTGGGAGGGCGGGGTGAACCTCGGGCCGAGTCTGACCGTGACGTGAGGCAACAAAGCTCATGCCCGATGAGTGTCTGAGTTGTCGGCGGCATTGCATGCCGTTGATGAGGTAGAAATGAGGCCATGATGCATGCAGCCCAATAGGCACACAAGGCCGCGAGTCGCCTGCAGTATGCGGGGTCCGTCGATGGGACAGAAAAGTGAACCCAACGAGGCATAGTAGTCACGAATCACGATACTGTGCGCATGGTGTCAGCCAATGGCAGATTCATCCGATAACGGAAGCGACTTGTACTGACCAAGAAGCCAGGATCTTTGGTGCTCGCCTTCAGGAAGCTGACAGGCAAAAGTGAGGCAGACGAAAAATAAGGTGCAATGCGAGGCCAGGTGTCGAGTAGCCCCTTACCCCAGGTCACATGGTCGCCCTCGACGCATTGGGAAAAAAAAAAAAAGGAAAAGAAAGCTCCTCCTCCAAGTTCTTCTCGTTTGCTCATTTTTCCCGCATAGCTATTGGAAGAATCCTTGCACCTCGCGGCTGACCTCCCGGCGATACTCCCCTTCCTGTCGTGCTGACTAATGTATTGGCAGGGACAGATTCCCATGATTATTTGGGTTATCACGGGCATCCTCGTCATTGGCCTCACCTTGCGATCCTTTAGCATTATAACACCTCTTTTCCCCCTTCACTATGGGCTCTGCGACGAGCATGGACGTTTTAACGGCTGACATTAAGGGCCTATAGAGTCTCCTTAGCCAGGGCCGTGTCACGAGCCGTAACTTAGTTGAGTCTTACCTCGCTTAGATTGATAAACAGGATGGATACTTACACGCAATAAATTAGATCACGCTGGCGCACCTCTTGTCTGAGAGCCAACCAAATGGACCAAGAGCGACGGGCTGGCAGTATTCGCGGCCCTCTCCACGGCATCCCCATCATTATCAAGGTAACATTGAAGTGTCTCCGGCACGTCCACGACTGCTCTCAGGCATAACCTGATCAGATCGCGGTAGATGCTTTCAGCTTCAGCACCCAGGGCACGTCCAATGTCCGTCTGTCCACTGGCGACATATGCCTGTGAGAGTTTCTTAATGACCCTTGCGTATTCCCCTTGGTCCGTCTTTTCCGGTTCGCCTATCTGAGCAATGATTCGTGCTTGGTCGAGTAGATCGCTAGCAAAGGTTAGCGAGCTGCAATCACGCACCGCAGCTGTTGCGGATGGCTGGGCTCGATAAATAATACATTGCTTCCTGATGATTATTCTGCCTCGGTCTAACGTCTCCCATCTAGAACAGAGCGGTCGCAACCCACGGTGTGGATGAGCCGGCTGTTGTAGCCATGTCGTAGGCTTTTGAGACATTCTGCCATGCGCTCTCGTAGTCATCTTGGCGAATGTCAAAGTCTGCATGCATCCTGTAAGAGCTGCAGCAAATAAACCAGCACTGACCACGGCACGAAAACACCAAGGCGTTAGGTGGTGAACGTCTTACTTACATGGTCAAGTATCGCGACTTGTCTCCAAGCTCTTGGACGCTGTACCGCGTGGCGAGATCAACGTGCCCCCGGGCCTCTTCGAACCTGCCCAAGGCCCGGGACCATGCCATTACATTTAAGGGCTCTCTTATCTTGGCCCCGTTTGCAGAAGATGTGGCCCATCATGACGCAGAGCTTAGTGTGCGGGATGGATTCTTTATCTTTATAGTGGTAGAAGCCATGTTAAAGGAGCTAAACGCAAGCGTAGTATCTGTTAACTTCAGTAAGGTACCTGTGACTTTCGGTCAGTAAATAAAGCAAAGTGAGATGTGAAGATGAGCATCATTTTTACCGTGCCGCGTCAGAAATCAAGTAGGCAAAGTCCTCGTTATAAGCAATCTCGACTTGCGAGGAGAGCTTGTGATGTCGCTCGGTAAGCCCCTCGATGTTATTAACCAGGCTCTCGCATAGTGGCCATTGGTTGAACATTGGGAAGCCCTTGTGCTGCTTGGGAAACAGTTCTCGTAGGATAGAAACAGCATCGCGCTACTCGAGCTAACCGTCTACACCTATGTAGTTGCGATACTCTCCTTGAATGAGTCGGTGGATAGAGTATGATGTGGCGTCTGTGTTTTCGCTGAGCAAAGCAACGTCACGCAGCTCAATAATAATTTCAAGACGCCTACAGACGATGCTGTTAGTAAACTTGGGAAGCGGGTTGGTGGGAAAGAACAAGCAAAGGGAATAGAGAGGGACAAACTCCGTTTTATTGAGTTAAAAGACGAGGGGCCACACATGGCCATAATACCAAACACCTGGGCCACACCTGTTTCCATCCTACTAAAGGGAATTGTCCACATGGACTCCGGATCATCAGGCTTGTCGTAGTAGAGATTGTGCATTCGCCTCCGCGGCCTGCGGTGAAGACTGCGGGGATCTTGCTTATACATTGTCAAGAAGTCTCCAAGACTCATCTTCATGGCAATAGTGCTTCTAGCCATGACGTTGATGGAGATGGCGTGTCCGCCAAGCAAAGCAGAAAACTCGGCCTAAAGGTCCTTGTTCGAATGCAGCGTGGCAATAACCCTGCCTGGATGAGTAGCAGTTTGCCGCCTTGCTCGGCTGAAAGGGGCTCAAGTTGGAGGACGAGTGTGGCGGTTGATAAGATGCCGTCATGTCGCTACGGCATAACATGATGACGGTACCTGAGCTATCATATGGCCAGAGCGACGGATAATTCGCGGGTCCTCGACGTTGTCGAGTATGAGAAGCCAAGGTGTATCTTGGCGCGTGTCAGTCAAAGTGTCAGTTACCGTATGAGTTGACGTTTCTGCCGAGATTTGACCCTAATAATAGAACAATGATGCTCATGTAAAACGTACTCGTCTCTTGTAGCCACTGCAAAACAAGTAACCGATTCGTTTCATCATCTTTTTGGGCGCAGCCGTCGAGCTCCAACATGTTGGCAATTTCCGTAAAGGCCTTTTCCCACTCCGACTCGCCCTCTGCATCGATCCATCCCGAAAATGGCCCTTATTCCTTCTCCGCGAGCCCCTTGAGCGTATACGAGGGCGATTTGCGTCCTGCCCATCCTGGCTAGGGACCATAGAGCGACAGACTGCCGTTCGGCCGGGGTTGAAGACGTGCCGATATGTGTCTCCATAGTGTTGAGAATGTCTTGCCGTCCACACAACATGTCATTTGGAGGAAAGGAAATATAATAGCACGGCAACTTGGCCTTTGGTATCTTCAGAGAGCCGCTGAATAGCTGGCCTGCTGGCTGGGTGCCCTGTGTGACTAGACTGATGGCGTCATCTCGTTCTTTTTGTGAAGCGCTGGCGACACTTTGGGCCGCGATCCTCTCCTTCACGTAGTTGATTCTTGCGACATGCACCATGACGTCTCCTGAAACCTTTCTTTGCAGGTTGAAATATGCTGCGTCGCGTCTATCTCACCAGAATCACGTTGGTTAGCAAAAGCGCAAGCTGTGTCCATTAGAACGTCCATGTTGACCGACGAAAGTTGCTAGTGCGCGTGTGAGAGAATTTCCTGGCGGTAAAGAGGGCAAACTTTTGCAACTTGACAAGCACTTCGACGAGTACCAGCGTCAGGCTTGGGTCGACCGAAATGACATCTCTGTAAGAATGAAGCACGTTAAGATTATTGCCGAGGTCGGACCACATTTCTGTCATGGTTGAGAGCAGAGACGTCGACCGCTCTACATACTAATAGTTTCGAGTTGCTGATGAGCATTCTCTTCTCTCCCTCTTATCGTAGGAAAAACCACATTGGAGCGAACTTACTTGGAGCATGAGCGCAATTAGGCCCCAGATGCATGAAGACTGAAACGATGGAAGATTTAACGTCATCATGACGCCGAGAATAAATGTCTGTACCTGCACCAGGTGAGGCTTGTGGTGCGTAGATGTATCTGGACTCGAAGACATTTTTTCGGGATTGATTCGATGCATAGTCATTTGATGGGTGACAAGACGCTGCCAAAGAAAGTGTATTTGACTAACACCGTCTGATCCTGGAATTGTAACCAAGCTACCTTTCACTGCATTTACAGCACCTCGCACACTTTCATGATACGTGTCAGCACATTAGACAGCTGCAGGAAACTGTGGGGACCTAATACTTGTTGGGTCTCGGTAGGGTGTAAAAGGTCTACGGGTACCCGTGTGGGTTGCTTACCCGTGGGCTTTAGGTAGGTAATAGGTAAGAAAAAAAGACTTAAATAAATTTATAGGAAAAATAAAGTACTTATAATTATTTATTAAGAATATTAAGTGTTTTTAAGTACTTAAATAAGACTTATATAACTTACTTTATACTTTAAACTTAAGACTTATTATAAATATAATTAAATATTTATATTATTATACGTTTATAGGTATTTATAAAATACTTATCTTTATATTAGGTTACCCGTAGTATACCTAAATTACTTACATGATAAAATAGGTAGCCCACGAATAACCCAAGAAAAACTTGGATACCCACGGGTGCCTACGGGTACCCGTTTTTACACTCTAGGTCTCGGCTAGGAATATCTAATCAAGACACAACTCGCATAGCCGCCAGAGACGAATTAACGTGGGATCCTCGATGTTTTTGTGTGAACTCTACTTCGTACCCCGCTCGTTGTTGGATTGACAGCATATGATGCTGGACAGCCTCACGGTGAGAGCCGCTGAAGCGAGTGGGCGCCTTGATGCCGGAATGATGCTCGACGGCGAAGGCGAAAAAGGCCTCACGTCGGCCTCGGCAACAGCCCTTTCTCTAAAATAAATTACGAAGAGATGGCTGCTGGGACTAAGAAAATGCCACTCGAACGCTCCTGCAGTGCTTCTCTTGAGCATGTGCAGGGAAGCCTCGTCGGGGAGAAGGGTTACGACCTGTTCGTGCCGCCCAGACCTCGTCTACCACAGACGAATCTGCATTTTGAAGCTTGTGCGAATATCCAAGCCCAAAATATGCGGACTCATGGCATGGCTGACTTCAGCCTCGATAAGAACGGCTTTCAATTTCACACACACCGCTTCGACGACCGACTGTCTTGGGAGACGATCCAGGGTGACGACAAGCATGCCACTGTGGCTGGATCTCACATCGCTTTTCAACAAACTTTACTAGCTGAGAGAGTGACTCTCTACGGCTGGAGAATAAGGATTGCTCGTGCTATGGCCTGAATAGGATGGCAATAGACAACTGAGAGTCCCTAGATACAAAGCACATCGTCTTCTATCAAGCGGATTCGACTGGCGGAGGGCAATGCGGCGTTGCCACCGGCCACATGGGTCCCTGCTGGTAAAAAACCCAGATTCAGACCTGAAGGATGATTGAGAAGATAAAATTAGTAGATGAATCTGCCCAGGGAGAATACCGCGCCGTCATGGAGCATTTAACTGAAAAAGAGCAACAACTACTCGGTTCGGCCAAGGGTGGATTTCGTGTTATGAGGTTGAGAGTCCCGTCTCTCTTTAACATACAAGTTTAACCCTTCCAACACCCTTGAATGCGCTTAATTTCTCATCTGCGTAGCATCTGGCGGCCAATAATCCCGCTAATCAAAGCTCGACCGTTAGCCCTATGCGACTAGGCCTCGGTGTGTCCGACGACTGGGAATTGCGTGACCAGATTCACAATGACCCTGTGGACGAAGCCATTTATTTGAAGCATAATAAAGCACATAGATAGTAGTAGCTTCCAGACCAGCGAGCCGACGAACTAACCCTGTTTGCGGGTTAGGACTCGAGCAAGTTCAAGCAGGGTGGCCAGGGTCAGTCAGAGAGACACACTAGTCAGATGAATCCTCCATGGCATTTGCTAACGAGGGTCTATAACGAAAGTAAGTACGCCTCATGGCGCATTTCATTTACCAGGAGATGACGGAACCCGCGAGAGGCTTAGTATCAAGGTGCGGTCGATTATCTGGACGGCTTCGTCGAGATCAGAAGCCTTCTTGGCCATGGTGGTTAGGCATATTATCACAAGATAATTTAATGGTGACAACCGGAAAAAAACCATTAGCGGCATTGGAGACTCTAACGACTGCATGAGGCGATTCAGCGCCGGGCCCAGAAGACTTTTTCATGACGGCGTCGGTACTCGCACAGTGTCCCTTGTCCTGACTTGACTTGAGAGCGGGCTTAGCACTCACCACGTTCGTATCATCTCTCTCCCCTATAGTGGCACTGATATTATTTTTGTTTGTCTTTAGACTCAGCTAGTTAGTTTAAGGCCCTAGTTAACAAGCACCCTCTCTGAGTTATTAAGCACCCCTATTTCAGCTGGGCCCCCTTAGGTGCTAGTGTCGGAATTTATTAGTAATTACCAAGGCAATTAAGACAGGCCGGCCTAACGCGGGCCAGTTAATAGAGGTAACATGCATGCATATGTGATTATTAACTTATTTAAGAAAAAAAAAATCAAAAAAACGAGCTAGATAGAGGGTATCCAGTAACACTGTATTTTGGCTGTACGGTGTACCTAGGCGAGGGAACCGTAACTAAGCACTATAAACGTATCGCGATGCGTTAGACATACTAGCTAATATTATTTTTGTATTAAAATTTATAAGAGTTTAATGTCAAGTACTATAGTTATAATAAGCTATAATAAGGGTGCTTAGTAACTTAAAGAGGGTGCTATTAATTGGGCTCTATAATTAATATATAATATTATTAAATATACTTATATAATACTTATACTACTATTTAAATTAGAAAAATTTAAAAAAAAAACAACTTAATATTAAGTAATAATATACTTAAAAAGTATTAATAATTTCTTAACTTCTAAAACTTTTTTTACTTAATATTCGTATTACTAGTTATTGCCAGTCTTCCAAGTCTCTATTATGTCCCATGTCTCTACACACCGCAATATACTCGTCGGGCTTCTTCCAAAGCGGGTTCTTCGGTGTATTACACAACCAATCCTGACAGCGCAGCTGAAGACGTTGGTAATACTCTCTCCTAGCCTTCAAGTCTAGAGGCACACTTGGAACGCCCAAGATCCTAGTGACTTGGTTTAACAGGTCCTTAAAAGACTTAGCGCCAGCCCTTCCAGTCCAACCGTCCTGAATAACACCCCCAATAACTTCAGCGCCTTGTGCGATAGTCCATCGACCAGCCTGTAGCGTATCTCGTATCTGAATAGCTTCTGAACGCGACTGAACACCTGCAAAAGGATCCACACCCGAAAGAATAAAATGCAAACACGTTGCTAAATCGAAGTGATCGGTTATCACGTCAGTTGAAGATTCAGATGGTGAACTTGATCCGAAGTCGAAGATCTTCAAGGTATTGACGCTGTCAACACCTAGATTACGTACTGCGAGATCTCCGTGAATAAAGCCAAGCTTCTCCAGCCAGCTGGTTGCATCAAGCAAATCTAGGGCCCATCGGTGACGATCTTCACGGCTCGCAACCGACCACACCTTTTGCAACGGATCAAGTCTTTCAATAAACAAGTAATCAGTGCTGCCAGGTCCAAGTCTTTGAGTAAAGTTACGGTGTGGTTGAAGTTGTAATGCATCGTAGATAGCCATCTCTTTTTCCATAGCAGTGAAGCTTCTAATCGAGAGGTCCAGCAATGCGACATGTCGGTGTCTAGAGAAACCCTATATTGGAATGGAACTTTAAGAACAATGTCCCTGTCGATGGCATAAGCTATACCTTGCGATGGTCCAGTGCTAAGACACTCCCCAGGAGCGTCCCGGAAAGGCAATATAATCGACATACTAATCGGGGATAGATAAAGGGGATGGGAGAGAACTGGTAGGAGTGCATAGTTCGGTAAGAAAAAGATGGGCGACGACCTCTTATAAAGCCTGCAATCCATTTATGCAATACTTAGTGTTTGTCTAGCATAGTAACTCGATATATTGCATAAACCCTATATAAGACGACTCTCAATTCTTTCCCTTACCTATTGCAACACAGTCGTCACACTATTTGTTCACTCTATTATCCGAGATCGAATGATTATACGGCGGGTTCTTGCAGTTTAAGCCGTTGGGGGCACTCGCGCAAGGATAGACCTTTTCTACGCCCTCAGACCTGTGGTTGCATTTTCGGTAGACTGTTGCGGGCGCTGCTTTGAAGCACATGACGTACGGTGATATCGACGTGAAGGATAATGCGTTGCTTTATCTAAAAATAATACGTTAGATGAGTATTAAATGGTCCGAAAGATAACGCACGACGGATTTACCGTAATAGATATTTTCTTAGCCGAATGAATAGCAAATATTTTGAGTAAGAAGGATACTGCCTAACATTAACAACACACAGGTTATTTATACCCATTCTAAACGCTCTTTCTGGTACTAATCATTTTTACTTAAACCGTACATTAATATAGCAGGCCTAGTAAAATACTCATGTGTGGGGTTGAAGGGCAAGGTGCACGTTTGCCTGTGTTCCGAATGGGGAGACGGAGTGTCAAAGTGATATCTAACGCAGAGCTTTGCAAGTCGCCGGTGCAAGGCAGCCACCTGCTAACACGCTTGACATGAACAAGCTTCTATCACTGTATTGCTGGTACTAGCGCATTCTATTAGCATTTTTTTGGTGGCAAGCGGTATATACTTGGAAGTGCTTTATAATAATTCCTGTTAAGGGATGTATTTACAGTGGGTAACGGTAATTCCGAAAAACCTAAAACAGACCCTATATACCCGCGTTATAAGGCAAATATTTAAACCGCGATTTCTCGGCTAATTAAATAGTAATTATATTTTTATATAAATAGTAAAAAATCTAATTAATTCTACATTAATTAATATAATTAATACTTAATATACTAGCCGTTTACGTGTATAATAGCTTTAATTTAATAGAGTATTATATTAATTAGCTTTTATAGTAGCTTTTAACTAAAACCTTTCTAAGCCTTTATAACAGCTATTTTAAGCCTTAAAAATAAGGTGATATTATTTCTTATATTTATTAGCTTAAGGTAATACTTAATTATTTTTTATTTTAGTAATTTTTAAAGGTTTTTAATAGGGTTAAGGTTAAGTAAATATAGTAATTACTTTATTAATTTAACCCTATTTCTTATAGCTTAATTACGTAATTAATTTTACATTAATTAACTTAAATATATAAAAGTATTATCTTATATAAAGGTATTTTTAGGCTTTAAAATTATAGGTAGCTTTAATTATAGAGTATTAAGTATTATTTAAGAAGTTATATTATACTAAGGTAAGTTATTATCTCTAAAAAAAGCATATAATAATAAGCGATTAAACGTATTAAATACACCTTAAAACATTAATAATTAGCGTATTTCACGTAGCTTTAATTATACTTTATTTTAATTAAGTCTTTTACCTTAAAATAAATTAGTTTTAAAGTTATTATAGATTCTTTAAAGAGCTATTATAGCTTACACGCCTTAAAAAATACTATTATATCTTTTAACCGTTAAAAGTCACGATTAAGACTTTATTAAAAAAAAACTTAATACTATTATATAATTAGCTTTTAATAATATTATAAAGTAAATCTTAAGCGTCTTTTTACATCTTTTAGTATTAATTTTAATTATTAAAGTGCGCGCTTATATTAAATACCTATTAATTTAAGGTAACGCGTTAAAGTTATAATATTATATAATAAATTAGCTTAGTAAAGAAGATCTTAGTTTTAAATAAAAGGGTTTTAATTAATAATTTATATAATATATCTTTTTTCGTAATTTATAAGCTTTAAGAGCTATTTAAAGCATAATAAATCTTAACCCTTAATTTACTACTCGTATTATTTCGCGATATTATATATACTACCAGTAGAAATCTTCTTCTCTTTAATAATGTAATTAATAGAAATACTTAAAGAGTATATTTTATAAACCTTACCTCTCTTATAAGAACTTTAATTCTTATTTTAAGTTACTTAAGGTATTATAGCGGTAGTAATTATATCTTTTAAAGATAAAAGGTATATTATTATAATAGACGCGTTATAGGTTAATACGCGATTTTAGTGGGTTTTTTTCGGAATTACTGGAGACCCACTGTAACTAGTTGACGCTTCTACGCTGCATTAGCGGGAGTTCCCTCTTAGCCGGCCAAATAGCCTAAAAGTCACTCCGAGGCTCCCTGGTGACTTGCCAACGGCCTCATAAACAAGGGTGAGAAGTCCACTCGCTGCCTTGGCTCGCCGCAAGTCTCGCTGGCACCCGCGCTGGTTGCAATGGTGATGCTGGGATGTGTCAGAAGTGTTCTTATTTCCTCAGTTACATTCGGTCCAGCTTTCCACTTTATGCAGTCCTCTTATGCGGGGGAGACGATAACAGGGGATGACTACGGAGTATGGCCCCGTAATCAACTAAGGAGCGAGAAGGCGCAGGTACACGATGACGTACACCAGACAAGGCCATTCCCCTGTCTCGTGGCCGTGAATCCGAGTACGGCTATTGAATTATGCAATGGCCCAACCCCATAAGCGTTGACTGAGCCGGTAAGAATGGCAACATTACCACACCAATTCAAATAGTGGATTGTCTCCAGACGCAACATCTTCGCAATGAGGTTGCTGTTAAACATTGTGTCATGATATTACTGGCTCAAAATTGCAGTCGGTTCGCGTAACGGCAGAGAACAGTCCCATTATTGGCTGCCTTACTCCGTATTCGAATGTACAATGCAGAATTGCGGTGGTTCGCTATAAGGTCGCTGCAGACTAAACGGGCTACACGTTGACGAGGCGACGCACCCTCTGCTTTCCGCCCCGGTTGTCTGGTAAGCCATCTCGCCTCTGAGATTTTCCTGCCCGTGTCGCTGGTTGCCTAATAGCTCCCTGCATTATGTCTTAGCGTTACTATTCCTATAAATTCTATGAATTCAGAGTATCTCCGCCTAAGACGCCTTCCTAGCAGCTAGGAGATTTTCCCGGCTTGGTTTATAATATGAGCCGCGGTAACAGCTAAAAGAGACGTGCGCGGATAAAAGGTATTAAGACTACCTTCGCTTATTACTACTAGAGAAGAAGAAAATAAAGGAAAAAAACATATAATAATAGTATTTATAAATAATTTTATTTAATTATACAAGTAGATTTTCTTAAAAGAAAATACTTGCCTTTACCAGCTTAACGAATTTATCCAAACCTCTGCCTATTACCTGGTTGATCGCCAGGATCGGTGAGGGAATAATACAGTCATTTACAACCACGTCAAAACATGCAGGGTATTCAAGGATTTGTATTTAACGCACTTGTGTGAAACCAAATTGTCTGATCCATCGACAAAGCCGAAGTCTCTGAGCTTATTCCCAGCGTGATTCAAACTAGAACCAGCGGTCTAGAGTTAGTCATCTACCTTTCGTTGTTTTATTCCCCGCGACTCTAGGCGTTCAAGTGTGCCACAATACTGCAGAGTAGTCTTGGATCATTCAACGACTTTGGGAATGACGGCGGCAACACCTGGTCTCAGCATCCTGAGATGTGGTTCTTGAAATCGTATGTTCCTCTGAGCCGCAGCGATTGGCCATAGTGACGGCCTATAGGTGCGATTCCCGTGCTGCCAACCGCAGCAACCAGTTTCGCAACACCGCCAAACTCGGACGATTGCATTTTCCTGGTGAAAGGTATCCACACAGATTGACTCGATGTTTTGCAGCATCAGACTGTCTCGGATAAGTGAGCAGGCCTAAGACTTTGAAGTCAGAAAATGCATAGGCGTCCTTTGCCACGCCATAAATTAGACATCTCCGGCTTGCCTGACATGTAGTTGCGGCGGGAATAGCAAAGTTGTATCCAGAGAACCTCATCGTGACATACTAGGACTGAGCATAAGTCTTACTCTAAAATACACTCCTGAAACCATGGCCAGTAGAAGGAATCTGACCAGTCT